AACATATCTTTTTTATTCTTGCATTATCCTTTATGTTATATTTTTATTTGTAGTATTTTTATCATTGCTAGTTAATGGTAATTTCATTTTTTGTGTACTGTCTATAGTTTGTAAACTAACTAGCGTGTGAACCTCTGTGCGGATGCTGCTGTGACACCTGAATTTCCCCTCGGCGGTACAATGAAGACTATTTTTATTCTATTCTATTCTCTCATCACTCATTGAGTTTATGTTGTCAGTTCTACTGATTAAGTTCAGGAATATACAGTCCTTTACTTGATGTGTAAGATTGTGTTTCAGTTGGTAGAAATAAAGTTTMGAAAAAGCCAAGTTTATTGCTGAATCGTTTTGGCCATAATTGCCTTTTTTATTTATAACAATGTAAAAGATAAGTGCATTTCTACATCATTTTGGCTCATATTACCTTTATGTTTTTATTTATAATTTTAGTCTTATTAAAAGTTATGTTTCCCTTGTAAATCAATTTGCACATTATAATTTAATGACACGAGATGGTACTTGGCAGTTACTCACTACTCACGCTACTTGAGTAGTTTATAATCAAAGTACGTTTTTACTTTTACTCAAGTAAATTTTTGGATGGCTACTCTCTACTTTTACTTGAGTAAAATTTTGTTCAAGTAACAATACTTTTACTTAAGTAAAATTTTTGAGTACTCTACCCACCTCTGGCTTTAGTACCCCTCAAACGGCTCTGTTTGTGATGTGGGCAGAGAAAAGGCTTCCTCTGCATCACTCTCCCATACAGCATCTCCTTGTGTAAAGTGCACAGAATAATTGAACGATGCACAGTGACTCCATCAGCAGCAAGATGATGCTGTAGGTCTTTGGTGCTGGTCTGTGGGTTGACTCTGACTTTTGTCAACATCCTTCGCTTCGGTTTATTCCAGATTTTTCTTGGTCTGCCACTTCGATCCTTGACTTGAACTGTGCCTGTGGTCTTCACAATGTTTCTCACAGTGGAGATTGAAAGCTGAAATCTCTGAGATAGCTTTCTGTATCCTTCCCCTAAACCATGTCGGTGAACAATCTTTGTTTTCAGCTCATTTGAAAGTTGTTTTGAGACTCCCATGCTGTGACTCATCAGAGAAGATGCAAAGAGGGAAAAAAAAGCATACAACTGCCCCCCTTAAAAACCCTTTCTCATAATTGGAGTCACCAGTGTATGGAGGTCAAGGGTCACTGGACTAATCAAACTTGAGTTCCAAAAATTAGTTGTAAAGGTTTTGAAATCAATAAAATGACAACAGTGCCCAAATTAATGCACCTGCCTAATTTTGTTTAACCAATTATTGCACACTTTCTGTAAATCATTTAAACTTCATTTCACTTCTCAAATATCACTGTGTTTGTCCCCTATATGATAAATTTTAACTGATTTTTTTCATCCAAACTATTAATGATTTATAAAGATAAATCAGGAAAATTAACAAGCCTGCCCAAACCTTCGCACCCCACTGTGTGTGCTCACACACATAC